ATTGGCACTGCTGAAAGCCAAGATCTTTTGATAATGTGGTCAAAAATACAAGAAGTTGCACAGCAGGAAGAGGTGAAACTGAGAGGATTGGCACTGCTGAAAGCCAAGATCTTTTGATAATGTGGTCAAAAATACAATAAGTTGCACAGCAGGAAGAGGTGAAACTGAGAGGATTGGCACTGCTGAAAGCCAAGATCTTTTGATAATGTGGTCAAAAATACAATAAGTTGCACAGCAGGAAGAGGTGAAACTGAGAGGATTGGCACTGCTGAAAGCCAAGATCTTTTGATAATGTGGTCAAAAACACAAGAAGTTGTTGAAAGGTGGCAATGTTTGTGTATTGTAGGCAAAGCATTAAGGTTTAATGTGTTCGTAAATTGTTGCTGTGCTTGTTATTCGACATATTCTTCTTTAATATACATTTCTGTAATCTATGGTGCAATTTGAATGGTTTGAAATGAATTCTGTCCGTATTACATAGTTGTGGATTTCAGGCTATATAATAGTCATGGCAAATAAGACTCCTTTTTTCGGGGGTTGGGGGGGGGGGGGGAGTGCCTTGTTGATCATATTCTTAGTGCGCTTGTTTCCATAGCGAGGCGCAGACGCCGTCTGGAGGTGACAGGTTCAATTCCAGGCACGGTAACTATAGCTTTCGATTTTTTAAGTTCTCAAGTGTGTTCATCTATCTTTCTACTTCTTTCTATGAGTGCCGATCAATACATTTTCTGTCACCTTATTATTATATTTATATTATCAGGAATGATCTTCTCAACAATAGCTTCCTCAATCCCTCTTCTTCCTTCTTCTTATATGTGCTCTGTCAACATTTGGATCAAACCCAGTAAAGGCATGTTTTTTGTCTGTTTTATTTATTTGCTGTTCAATCCCACCCGGACCGTACAATAAGCGACCAAAACCCGTTGATACAAAGTGCCACCATTCGGATGAGGATTACCTGAGGACAGAAAACCCCGTTCAACCCATAGTATAGGTTATATTAGGGCTCCCGGCAATAGCCACGGTGGGGTTTAAAAACAACACAAAAATTGAGTCAAACACTGGCACACACAGTGTATGATATTTATTTGTGTTTGTATTTAAATAAAATCGTTACGTGTTATTAAATTTATAGTCTACTGTATTTCGGAAAATGCATTTGAAAATTTCGGCGTGTTGGACCTTGGAACAGGTCAGTTTTTTCCTTTTCTTTTCGACACAACTCCATGCCATGCAACAAGACTGTTAAGCATCTTCTCTCTTTGTCTTCCTCTATCTCTCCTTCCACATATCCATTCATCCAGAATTGTAAGCTATTCTCTCTATATATATATATCTCTTCTTATATATATATAATATATATATATATATATATATATTAAGCAGACCGCGTACCCCCCCCCCCCCCCCTTTTTTGTTGTAAAATATTTTTTTCTTGAACATATAAAACATGTTTGCATGTAATGTTTTGTAGGTATTTGTACGTCTGTTTACACATGTTGCCGTTGGTAAGTAGTGTGTATGTTTTTTTGCAAAACCATACATGTTTCAAATTCAAATAAACTAATCCTACATGCACCGAAATTATAATCATAGCAAAGCAAAGCATGTATGACTATGTCTTCTAAAGATTGTCGGCTCTGTGACTAAGTCGATGTGAACGCTTCTTAAAGCTGGGATGCCGGGTTCGAAAATTTGCGTTGCACAGTGGTATCAGAAAGCTTTCAGGACGGGCAAACTACTGGACGTAAATTTGCCTAGAAAAACCACACAACAGCCAGAGGCTGTTGGTGTTGGTTCTGCAACGTCCTGTAAAGGATACGCAACTAACCTAACCTTCTAAAGAGTTGAGGCTTCTTCCCTGTTTTTTTTTCTTTTGCAAATGTGTTTGTAAAGTGTAGTGTTTACCTGTGCTGCCTTGTAGGTATTTGTGTATGTGTTATTACAGACGATGTCGTTTGTTTGTTTATTTGTGTAGTTATATACAGGTCAGTTTAGCTTTCACCATTTCATGGAAAGACCTGAGCAAGTAATTATTCTACGCTCCTTAAAACAGGACATACAGACCCCGTCTTCCGCTCCCCGTCTGCGCGTTGGGGATATATAGGCTAGTACCTGTCCTTGACATCCTCTTGAACAAAGTTTTTCGCCAGGGATACAGATGAGTATCATTTATTTTGTACATTAGAGTCCTATGTAGTCACTTCAGAGTTAGAGCATATTTGTGTATGTGTACTGTGTTGTTCTGTATGTGCTTATGAAGGCTTATCACAGCAACGTCCTTTGTTTGTTTATTGTGATCTATCTTGTAAAGCTAGCATAGACTATTTGTTCTTTCTTACTAACTTTTTCTCTTCCCTATAATTTCCTACCCCTTTAAAAACTTAAAACAGGACACAATCGACTTCACAGCCACATGTACACAAAATTTAAAATTGGCGAATCAGCCATGTGCACCTGTGGATTGGCATCTGAGACAACAGATCATGTCCTCCAAGACTGTCCCAAATACAACATACCAAGGCGAATCTTCTGGCCAAGAGAGACACCGGTGCAAGTCAAACTTTACGGGTCGCTGAGTGAATTACGAAAGACAGCGAAGTTTATACTAAAGTCAACATTGTAGATATAGATATTGTTTTTTTTTCAAGCAAACAAAAGAAGATGAAGAAGAAGAAGAAGTTTAGTTTCCATTATTTTAAATGGGAAAAATCGCATTGGAACTCGAACCGATGTGCAATTCGAACCACTCCCAGAACGGGTTATGTTCGAATTTCTAGGTTTCACTGAACACTAGAAACTAAAATTTTGCGGATCTTCAACACAACAGAATTAGCTTCCAGTGTTGACATTCACTCACAAGCCTTGTCGGTGAGGTCATAAGTCAGTGTTTGCTTAAGATGAGGAAGTAACTCGGTGACTTTCTTTTTTACAGTTTCTATCAGTGTTTGTTTTTCTCGTGTGTCGTAGGTCTAAATTCATTGAGAGGAAAGGGAGAGAATAGTGATTGTTAGTGAGTTACTTCCCATTTAGTGTTTTTTGAAATTAGACGTTTTTTACCAGTGGAAAATACATGAAGTTAACAGTGGTGTAGGCGGAGAAACAACTGTTGTATTCACAACATAGGGTAAGATGAAAAGCTAGATGTATGAATGGGTAGATAGATGTTATAATAATAGATAGGTAGACAGACTGCCAAGGAGACACCAGGCAGGCAAACAGACAGATGGATGGAAAATAGCGGATAATAGCTATACTGGGACAGACAGACAGACATACAGACAGACAGACAGACAGATAGACAGATAGATAGATAGATAGATAGATAGATAGATAGATAGATAGATAGATAGATAGATAGATAGATAGATAGATAGATAGATAGATAGATAGATAGATAGATAGATAGATAGATAGATAGATAGATAGATAGATAGATAGATAGATAGATAGATAGATAGATAGATAGATAGATAGATAGATAGATAGATAGATAGATAGATAGATAGATAGATAGATAGATAGATAGATAGATAGATAGATAGATAGATAGATAGATAGATAGATAGATAGATAGATAGATAGATAGATAGATAGATAGATAGATAGATAGATAGATAGATAGATAGATAGATAGATAGATAGATAGATAGATAGATAGATAGATAGATAGATAGATAGATTAGATAGATAGATCGATAGATAGATAGATTAGATGATAGATAGATAGATGGATAGATGGATGATGGAGGATGGATGATTGTATGGATGGATGGATGGATAGATTAGATAGATAGATGGATATGATGGAGGATGGATAGATGGCTGGATAGATAGATGGATAGATGGATGGATAGATAGATAGATGGATGGATGGATAGATGGATGGATGGATGGATGGATAGATATGGATTATGGATATGGAGATAGATTATAGATAGATGGATGGATTAGATAGATAGCTAGATGGAGGATGGATGGATAGATGGAGATGGATTAGATGGAGATGGATTAGATGGATAGATGGATTAGATAGATAGATGGATGGATAGATGGATAGATGGATATAGATGGATAGATAGATGGATAGATAGATAGATGGATAGATAGATGGATTAGATGGATAGGATTAGGATAGATAGGATTATGGATGGAGGGGATGATGGATGATGGAGATAGATAGATGGATTATGGATGGATGGATAGATTAGATGGATAGATAGATTAGATAGATAGATTAGATAGATAGATAGATAGATAGATAGATAGATAGATAGATAGATAGATAGATAGATAGATAGATAGATAGATAGATTAGATAGATAGATAGATAGATAGATAGATTAGATAGATAGATTAGATAGATAGATAGATAGATAGATAGATAGATAGATAGATAGATAGATAGATAGATAGATAGATAGATAGATAGATAGATAGATAGATAGATAGATAGATAGATAGATAGATAGATAGATAGAGAGATTGGAGAGATTGAAGAGATTGGAGAGATTGGAGAGATTGGAGAGATTGGAGAGATTGGATAGATTAGATAGATTAGATAGATAGATTAGATAGATAGATTAGATAGATAGATTAGATAGATAGATTAGATAGATAGATAGCAGGAATCGAACCGGTCACCTAGGAGTGACACTGCTCGTTCGCAATGATTAGGCCACAGATGCCGACATGAAATGTACATTATAAAGATGCATACATTTTATGGCAACAAAAGTGCAAGGTGTTCTTGCAAGCTATGGGGAGCCATGAAGACCTGCAACCAACATGCGAGTTCATAGAGGCAGCCAACCCGACGATTCTTACCTGTTCATGGGAAACAAAACGCAAAGAAGAAAAAGTGTCACAGTGCACATAAAGCGTATATTTAAGGAACAATATACAATTAAATTTACTACAATTTTCCACATTTTTTATTTTATTTCAGATATCTTTGTTTTCGACTAAGCATGACATCGATAACTCCGTTGTCTACACATATGGAAGAATGCAAGAATGAGCCCAGAAAAATATATGTTAATACATCCAGAGAACTTCTATCCAGAGAAGAACACAAGAACAAGTTCATAATTACCCAGTCTGAAAATTCAGCTGAAGATCTACACAGAAAAGAACAAACTAGCAAGCTCAAAAATACCCTGATGGAAACTTCCAGTCAACAGCTACACAGGGCAGAAAACAAGAATCAGTTGTATGATTCGTTCACTGACGATCTACCCAACGAACAATGTGATACCAGATCACATGATTCGTTCACTGAAGATCTACCTAACGAACTATGTGATACCAGATTGGAAACGTCCAAATTCCCAGCACCTGATGGCGGTTACGGCTGGTTTGTGGTTCTCGGCTGCTTCATATCTCACGTGGTGTTTGCGGGCTTCGACAGAAGCGAAGGCATCCTTTTTCTTTTGTTGACCTCCAAGTTTGAGCAGAGTGCCCAACTGACCTCATGGCCCGGCGCGATTGCCTGTACCCTTCAGTTACTTCTGGGGCCCTTAGCCACTGCCGTGTCCAACCGTTACAGTCCAAGAATTGCTGTAATGCTGGGAGCGGTTCTTGTGTTCTTGGGAACACTGCTGAGTTCGTTTTCTCCCAGTTTTATCTTCTATTTCATTTGTCATGGGTTTATAGATGGTTTTGGTCGCGGTTTGGCTTACGTACCTGGCCTGTCAATGGTGGGAATGTACTTTGATAAACGTGCCGGTTTGGCGGTAGGGCTTGCTACGTCTGGCGCAGGAATTGGGACGTTTGTTATCGTACCATTTACTCAGTATCTAGCAGATAATTTTGGTTTCCAAGGAACTTTCTTAATTTTAAGCGGTGTTGCTTGTCATTTGTTCATCGCGGCATTGCTGTACAGGCCACTTAGGGTGCATTACCAAAGCATTTATTCAGATAGAGGCAGAAGGAGAAGGCGAAGGAATGACCCTGGTTCTTATACTGATGTCTCTGTTAACAAGAATGAGACGAGGAAACTAAACATACACACAAGCGGAAATACAATTCTGCAAACTGCACTAAACGAAACCAGTATTGAACGCCCATTAACTTTGATTACAAACAGCAATGCGGCTTATAATGTGAAGACGAACCATTTTTCGCGTACTTCGAAGATACACACAAATATCTCCAGAAATAACAAAGTTCATGAAGTTAACTGTTGTATGTATTCCTTTAAGGTTTGTTGCCCAGTTGAACGTAACGAAAAACAGCCAGGACAGTGTTTTGATTTTCACCTGTTTAAAAACCGGCCGTTTATGATGTTTTGTTTAAGCATCTTCATGTTTACAATGGCATTCAGAGCAGCGTTTACCTTTATCCCCGCCCTTATTGAATCCAAGGGCATCCCCAAATCGCAAGCGGCGTTAGCGTTATCCGCAGCAGGAGCTGTAGACACTTTTGGCCGAATAGGAGCCGGGTTCTTCTTAGATCTTGAGCGTATCCGCCCATATCGTCTAGGCTTTTTACAATTCAGTCATTTTTGCTGTTGGATTTGTCGCCTTCTTCCTGCCCCTCATGACCAACATCTCCATGTTCTGCGTCATGTCCGGCCTATACGGACTTCTCACCGGAGCCTACATTTCCCAGAAGTCCGTAGTTCTCGCGGACATTTTGGATCCGCCGGATGTGGCCAGTTCTTTCGGAATTCTCATGGTGTTTCAAGGTTTAGGGGGCCTGTTTGGTCCTCCGTTAGCGGGTGCTCTCAAGGACGTGTTTGGGGGTTATGATGAATCGTTTTATTGTGGGGGTGGTCTTCTTGTTCTTGCTGGCCTGTTGATGGTTCTCTGTAACATTTGTAACAGGCTAGTTAAACGTAACATTGTTTCGTAGAGAAAAAGTCAAGATTTTAGTAATTATTTTGTTTTTTATTGTTATTACTAGAGAGTATTTAAATTTATTGTCCCCCAGTTTGTTTTTAATATAATTGTCCTTCTATGGAATTGTAGTCTGAAAGACTGACAACAAGCTACTCAAAGTGTCGACGCTTAACACTCAAGGGAAAGGCGAGACGGAAATACAATCATACAGTTACTGATGCCATCGGAATAGGAACTCTTCACTTGCTGCTGAAGATGGTGACGGATCGCTTAGATGAGTGTCTCGAGTGCTATGATGTTGTTTCCTAATTCATCATTCAAGTACTTGAATGTGTGACCTTCAACCCCCACCAGGATCGTACAAAGAGCGATTAACATCCGGTGACACAAAGCCACCATTGGGATCAGAATACACCTGGCACAAGTCCCAAAAACCTCATTCAACCGTTAGTTATATTAGGGATCCTTATAGCAACCGAGATAGGGTTTTAAAAATAACACATCTTCTTTTTTTTCTTTATGTCCTCTTTTGCCGCTTAGGGCGTCGAGTGAGATAGACGGTCCTGCTTCGTGCTATTATGGCAGCTTCGACCAAAGACACATAGTGGTGCTGTAGAGTTTCTATGACGTTATCTTTCTATCTTCTTATTACTCTACCTCTTGCCCTACGTCCCTCTCCTCTTTTGTTATATGCCTTGAATGGTATAGCATCAGAAGGGATTCTCTCCAAGTAGGCAAACCATTTGGTTTACCGTTTTTGTATGTAATTTTGATTATTTTTGTGTAGACTTTATCTCGTTTGACCCCATTCCTGATTTTATCTCTTCTGGTCACTCCTACTGCCTTTCTCAGTAATCTCATTTCTGTGGTGACTTATTTTCTTTTATGTTTTATTGTGAGTGACCGCGTCTGGCACTAGTAGCATAGGGTGGGAATGGATATGCTTTGTATGAGATGTCTCTCTGTGCTGATTGGGATTGCCTTATGCTGTAAGAGGGGAGCTAGCTGTGCCAATACTTGGCTAGCTTTACTGTATCCAATGTTTAATTTCTTTGTCTAATTTACCATCTTCAGTGAATGTTGTTACAAGTTATTTAAATTCAGATGCCTGTTTAATGTATAGATGCTCTAATGCAATAACACATCATGAAGCATTTATGAAAATGAGTAATTAACTTTACTTGTTGATGTAACTAAAAAACAATTCTGATGCACACACTTGACGGGGAAAAACGAATTATCCATGCGAATAAATTGTTTAATATATTATATGAAACACGGAACAGAGCTTATTCTTTCATTGTCTATTATATTCCACTGCTTCGCTGGGGAAAAAAAAAATCTGACATTTTAAATAGTTTCTTTAATGATGATATTCGTAAAAACAATTATTGCATCATCACCCACAAAGTAAAATACAGGTATAGCCCTATATGCCCAGTACGCCTGATGGCGTTAAAAGGGTCCTTTACTTTACTTACAGGTAAAAAATAAAAACAATAAAAATTAAGATTTTACAAAATCTCATTAATGGGAGATAACACAGTTGTAGTCTAAGATACAGTTACTGCTGTTGTTTGAAAAGAGTTGTGGTACGTCCATGAAGATTAAACACACACACATTTCGGTTTAACGAGCGAACTCGAACCTTAGCCGCTCATGACCCAGTGCGGGATTTAGGCATTAATAGGCTAACTAAGCTACAGCTTAGGGCCTTCACGATATACAGGGGCCTCACAATCTGCAGGGACATTAGAAAAAACTCCGGTTTCACAAATGCAGTTTTCTTTTTGCATATTTTAAATGATATTTTCTCTTAAGATATGGTTAAAAAAAAATGTACTGCACTATTAACCCATCCTAATATGAGACGCAATTTTTCATTATTTTGAAAGCCCCACACTGGCGGCTACAGGGGCTCTAACATAGCTCCTACGGATTGAACGGGGGTTCTGGGACCTGTCCCCTGGTGATCCTCATCCGAATGGTAGCACTTTGTGTCACTGTGTGTGTTTATCGCTCCGTATGATGTCCTGCTGAGATTGAATGTCAATCAACCAGTGTCTGATGAGATTGAACGTCAATCAGTCTGTGTCTGCTGAGATTGAATGTCAATCAGTCTGTGTCTGCAGAGATTGAATGTCAATCAATCAGTGTTTGCTGAGACTGAATGTCAATCAATCAGTGTCTGCTGAGATTGAATATCAATCAATCAGTGTCTGCTGAGATTGATTGTCATCAATCAACCAGTGTCTGCTGAGATTGAATGTCAGTCAATCAGTGTCTGCTGAGATTGAATGTCAATTAATCAGTGTCTGCTGAGATTGAACGTCAATCAGTCTTTGTCTGCTGAGATTGAATGTCAATCAATCAGTGTCTGCTGAGATTGAACGTCAATCAGTCTGTGTCTGCTGAGATTGAATGTCAATTAATCAGTGTCTGCTGAGATTGAATGTCAATCAATCAGTGTCTGCTGAGATTGAATGTCCATTCAGTCTGTGTCTGCTGAGATTGAATGTCAATTAATCAATGTCTGCTGAGATTGAATGTCAATCAATCAGTGTCTGCCGAGATTGATCAACCAGTGTCTGCTGAGATTGAATGTCAATCAGTCAGTGTCTACTGAGATTGATCAACCAGTGTCTGCTGAGATTGAATGTCAATCAATCAGTGTCTACTGAGATTGAATGTCAATCAGTCAGTGTCTTCTGAGATTGAATGTCAATCAATCAGTGTCTACACAGCATCACGTGTACAGAAAAACCACACGCTACGCATTGACATAAGCAGTGATGTTGTTAATAATAATGCAATATGCAATTGTGTTGTTGTTTTAAACCCCTCACCTCGGCTATGGTCGGGGGGCACAAATATAACCCAGCCTATGGGTTGAGCAGGGTTTCTGGGACTTGTGCTCGGTGATCCTTATCCGAATGGTTGGCATTTTGTGTCACCGGGTGTTGGTCGCTCGTTTTGCGGTCCTGGTTGGGTTGAAGCACACACACACACACACACACACACACACACACACACACGCACACACACACACACACACACACCGGCCTATCAAAACGGGAATTTCTGTAGACATGTTCACACGCACACACCCACACGCGCACAATAATAAATTATTTATGCATCTGAATTATCAAGTAACACATGTTTTAAGTTGTAAAGGCTTTTAGAGGATTATATAATATAATCTATGTGATTGTTTAAAGATCAGTGGAAAGAGGAGTTAGTTTGACGTCAGCCTGCCCAAATAGAGTAGGTCACTTTTCATTCACAAGTTTGTTGGACTGGTCGACTTTCCTGAAGGTTACAGGTGTGTCCTGCTCTATTGTTTGGTTTCTGCGATTTCTTGCATTTATGTTTTCATTCTAAGAAAGAGAATGCCTGTGACATAGGTTGCAGCACTCTCTATAGGGAGTTGTGTTAGATGCCGTTTCTCTATGCTTTTGAAGTGTCAAAAGCGCTGGCGTGTTGAAATATACCTTTGCCATTTACATCGAAAATATACAACACGCGATATCAACGACATTGCGGACCACCCCCGTAATCGGGTGCGAAGGTTACGGGGCGTAGGAACTACCAATCAAAAGTGAGCTAGTGAGTATATGGGCGGGGTCTGGGGAGACTAACCTTGAACTAACCGAAAAAGGTGTAGAGACAAACGAAGAGAGATGATGCTGGATGGGCTGAAACGACGGCATGAAGGGATATCATCAAGAGAGCTATTCCA